GTCGACTAACTCCCGTGCTCTATATACTTGTGCATACCTGTACAGATACATATACTCTTCTCCCCCTTTTTGGCATCAACAAAGAGGGAATAGACAGAACAAACCACGAACTAAAACATTATGCAGAAACAGAACTATATAGCATTATGCAGCAAAGTTATAGTCCAAAAAGCAACCAAAACAAAACAAGAAACAGAAATTGTCCAATGACTAAGTTAACAGTCCAAAAATAGCACAATAAAAAAATTGTCTTAAGCAACCATATTAACGACGCAGAAAGTAGGTAAGAGTATTGTAGATGGCCTCCTTCAGTTGGTCAAAGCTAGCATTGGCTGAGATGCTCATTCCATCAAACCTGTCATGAATCTCCCTGAAAGCCTTGACAACGTTCTCCCTTACTCTGAGGATGGCAACTCTTATCTTGGACACATCAGACCCTGTTTCTTTGGAGATAACATGAATGTCACAAATAGTTGACTTAGTGGCTGTGAGGATTTTTAATTTCAGAGAGTTGAATGTCAATGGCACGAAGTTTCTCGCCAAGATCAGGATCACCAAGACTGGGATGAGAGGCAGAAGGTTTAGGTTTTGGATCTACTGGATCATACTTTACATCGCCTTCGTGCTTTTTTACCCAGGAGCCATTCACACTCACATATCCCATACTTTCAAAGGCTCTAGAATTGTAAGATTTTGAAAGAGTGATAAAGGGATAAGCGGATAGAGAAATTTGGTGGGCTTCCAGGATGTGAGTGATGGTCATACCATAGGGTAGACTGGTGGGATCTTCAGCACTTTCAATAATGAAGTTAATGACCCAGGAGGATAACTTGACTTTGAGTTTGGTCACAAGACAGTATACCAAGAAGGTATCTCTTTGAGAGAAGGTGGAGAAGGAACCAGTGCGGGGAAGCAGAGTAGTTGCTACAATATGAGTCAGGACTCGAGTTTCGAAGCTAACATCACTGGGGCCTAACTGGTTAGGAAGGGATTCAGAGGAACACTCAGCAATACACCGTTTAGCTTGATCAAGGGAAATTTCAAAATCATCGGGCCAGGTATTTTTGAAAAGCATGGGAAAACTAGAACATTTACACTGAAAGAGTGAATCAAACATGGCACAATCAAGAATAATGCACTTACCTAACACTAAGGATTCCAACTTATCAGGTTTACTAGAGCGAAGATTAGCATAAAACATCTTTACCAGGGGTTCATAGACCTTAGGCGGAGGAATAGAGAGGAATTTAGACCACCCTTGATGAACAAAAAGATTTTTTACCTTAGAATTTAGGGCTTCCATGTCGTCAAGGTCGACTACCCTTCCATAAGCAATGGGCTTGTCTTTCAAGGTAATGAAGAGATCCCTGTTTGGAGAATCCAGAAATTCAGGTCAGATTCTATAGAGCCAGAAAGATCTATCTTGAATTTCTTTGGAGTAGAGTAAACAGGGGGGTCTTCCATAGGTCGTTTTCCTAGGGCTTTTTCTCCTAAGATTTGAGAATGATCAGACAAATCGCCCTGTGAAGAAGTGAAACCCTCAGACTGGTCGGACCCTAGGTCTACTTGTTCTGGGGGCATAGAAGGGGGTTTTGCTTTAGAGCGGGTACTTTTTTTGGTGGAGGCGGATGGGTTCTTGGGGTGTTTGGCCATTGAAGGATAATGGTTTGAGCAGATCTTTAGAGAGGAGTTTTCTAGATGATAGGGATGAAAGTGATTGAAATGAGATCTCTACCTTAAGAAGAGAACCTTCTGACGGTTGAGTACAGAAAAGGAAAAGGTGTCAGTTGAATAGACGTGATGACTGGCTTTCCAACTTTGAACGACGGAACTAATGTGAAAGAAAAGGAAAAGAGAGGAAAAACAGAGGCGTAATTAATGCAAGAGTAAAAGACAATTATTACACCTACAAAAGTAACTGAATTACACATAGTCCTACAGGTTATTATTCACGCAAGTAATGCCAAGTAATTTTCTCAAAGCACAAAACATATACTCTAATAAAGGCTTAGTAAAAATATCTGCTAATTGATCAGTTGTTCCAATAAAAGATATTTCTGTGTCTCCCTTAAGAACATGATCTCTAATAAAATGATGCTTGATATCTATATGCTTTGCTCTATAATGATGCACACGAGAAAGACATATAGCACTAGAATTATCATAGAAGATTAGAATAGTCTTAAAAAATAGTTCATAGTCACCAAGTTGATGATACATCCACAGTAGTTGTGCACAACATTGTCCAATAGCAATGTATTCAACTTCAGTCGTGGATAGTGCAACTGATCCTTGTTTTTTATTATTCCAAGATATCAAAGCTTTGCCAAGCAATTGACATGTCCCACTTGTGCTTTTTCCGTCTTCCTTATCACCTACAAGATCAGCATCTGAAAAACCTTCTAATTAAAAATTGTTAAAGAGAGGATACCATAACCCATGAGAGACAGTTCCAATGAGATATCGAATGATTCTTTTTACTGCAGTCAGGTGAGACTCCTTAGGAGCTGATTGAAACCTGGCACATTTACAAACGCTGAACATAATATCTGGTCGACTAGCAATCAAATAAAGAAGAGAGCCAATCATTCCATGATACTTAGTTTCATCAACAGATTTTCCTTGTTCATCTTTGTCGAGACTTGTTGAAGGACTCATTGGTGTGCCAATAGCTTTGGCACTACTCATGCTGAATTTTTGGATCAGCTCCTTTGTGTATTTAGTCTGACATATGAATGTTCCTTCTTCAGATTGTTGAATTTGAAGTCTAAGAAAGAACGTCAGTTCTCCCATCATACTCATTTCGAACTCACTTTGCATAAGATTTGAAAATTTCTTGCACATAAGAGGATTAGTACTACCAAATATAATATCATCAACATAAATTTGAATAATGAGATTACCTTCTGATGATATTTTAACAAACAGAGTAGTATCTACTTTACCTCTTGTAAATCCATGATCAATAAGAAAAGAGCTTAATCTTTTGTACTAGGCTCTTGGAGCTTACTTCAGCATGTACAATGCTTTAGTTAGTTTATACACATGATATGGAAACTCTAAGTCTATAAACCGGGGGGGTTGCTTCACATATACTTCCTCTTCAATGAAACTATTTAAGAAGGCACTTTTAACATCCATCTGAAATAACTTGAATCCTTTAAAAGATGCATATGCCAACAAAATGCGTATAGATTCCAGTCGAGCTACTGGGGCAAAGGTTTCGTCATAGTCAACTCCTTCTTGTTGTGAATATCCTTGAGAAACTAATCTAGCTTTGTTTCTTACAACTTTTCCATCCTCATTGAGCTTATTTCTTAAGACCCACTTTGTCCCTATCACAGGAACGTTTTCAGGTTTGGGTATCAGTTTCCATACTTGATTTTTGTCGAATTGATCTAACTCATCTTGCATTGCTTGCATCCAAATTGAGTCTTTAAGAGCTTCCTCTATTTTCTTTGGCTCAATCTGAGAGATTAGAGCTATGTTTTCTTTCTTCTTGGGAGCTCCCCTGGTTTTCATTCCTTCATTTGGATCTCCTATGATGAATTTTTGAGGATACTCAGGTTTACTTCTCCATTCGTTTGGGCGAGCTGTATGAGTAGTTGCCTCCTTCGGTGGTTTTGGTGGATTGTTGATGGTTTCATTAGTTGACTCTAACACAGCATAAGATCCATCAATCAACTTTTGTGATTTTCTTGTCTCCTGATTTTCTTGAATTTGACTTTCATCACCTGCAATAATATCTTTCTCGACCGAGAAGTTATTTTCATCAAATATAATATGCATAGATTCTTCCACACATATCGTGCGTTTGTTGTATACTCTAAAAGATCTATTATTTAATGAGTAACCCAAAAAAATACCTTCATCACTTCTTGGATCAAATTTTTCAAGATTGTCCTTACCATTATTGTGAATGAAATACTTACTTGGGATGAAAGTAGCTAATATTAGGACGTTTACCTTTCCACAGTTCATAAGGGGTTTTCTTCAGAATTGGCCTTATGAGGCAACGGTTGAGAATGTAACATGCAGTACTTACTCCTTCTGCCCAGAAATGATTTGGTAGAGAATGATCTAGTAGCATCGTTCTTGCCATATCTTGTAGTGTTCTATTTTTCCGTTCCATAATATCATTCTGTTGAGGTGATCTTGGTGCAGATAAATTATGAGTATATCCTTGATCATTACAAAAGTCTTTGAATGTTCTGCTTTCAAATTCTCCTCCATGATCACTTTGTATTGTTGTAATCAAATACCCTTTTTCTCCTTCAACCTTCTTACAGAAAACCTCAAAATTTCTTAATGCTTCATCCTTATGATATAAGAAAATCACCCAAGTAAAACGCGAATAATCATCAATAATAACAAAAGCATATCTTTTTTCTCCTATGCTAGCAGTTCTAGTAGGTCCAAATAAATCCATATGAAGCAATTGCAAGGGTTTAGAAGTGGATACAATATCCTTGTTTTTGAAAGAGTTTCTAGTTTGTTTTCCAATTTGACAAGCATTACATATATGATTTCTAGAGAAATTCAATTTTGGTAAACCAATAACTAAATCATGATTGGAAAGTTTTTCAATCAGATGCATGCTTGCATGACAAAGTTTCCTATGCCACAACTAGGGATCATTAGATATTGAAATTAAACAGATATGACCGTCAATATTTTCAAAACCATCAAGAATGTAAACATTTCATACCTTTTACCTGGAAGGACTATTTTACATGTCTCATCTTCAATGGCATAACATGTTTTCTTAAACTTTACCTCATATACTGAATCGCATAGCTGGCTTATGCTTAGAAGGTTGTAGTTAAGCCCATCGACTAGATAAACCTCAGTGATATCACAGTTGTTATTGAAGGGTATCGTTCCGGTACCAATTATTTTTCCTTTTGAATCATCGTCAAACTTAACGCTTCCTCCATTTATTTTTGTAACTTCTTTGAATAGGTTTTTATCACCGGTCATGTGGCTGGAACACGCACTGTCTAAGTACCATTTTCCTTTGCGATTTCTTCTTGGTTTGTTTTCTTGAAGTGCGTCTTTTCGAAGGCTATAAGTTCTCCTCGAAGTTCATCATAAGATAATTTATTTAGATCCTGTGATTCAAGTGTGACTACTTTAGTTTGCCAAGTGGTTGGTAAACTTCTAAGAACCTTTCTAACTTGATCACCGCTTGAATATGGTTTGCCGAAAGCTTTTAAGTCGCTAATGATTTTATTGAATCTGGCAAACATTTCCTCAATGGATTCTCCTTCTTTCATCTGGAAGAGTTCATAATCGTGAACCAACATGTTGATATGTGTTTCCTTCACTTTGTTGGTTCCTTCGTATGTAACTTCAAGCTTATCCCACATTTCTTTGGTTGTATTACAGCTAGAGATTTTCTCATATTCTTCACCACTTATAGCATTGTAGAGCAAATTTCTTGCTTTGTTGTTGACTTGCACAACTGTCATTTGCTCATTTGTATATGAATCTATATCTTCAGGATCAGCAAGAGGTTGAGCAGCAGCCGGCAGAGGATAATTTCCCTTTTTGATGACTCTTCACACTTTAACATCATATGCCTTAGCATATATCTCCATACGTACTTTCTAGTGGGAGAAATATTGTCCATTGAAGTATGGTGGCCTTACTTGGGAAGTACCTTCTTGAAAAAGTGCTCCTATGATAACTTCATTAATCTTTAATCAGAAGCTGTTAAGCAAAAAGAAAAGTGTGAGCCTTGCTCTGATACAAATTGAAAGTACAAGAAGGGGGTGAATTATTTATTTTTAAATTTAATAGTTAACAGTTGACTAGTTTTACGATTAGTCGACTGGATATAAGAACTTGATACTAGAAAAGACAAAAATAAAGATGCAAAATTTAAATGCAGGAATTAAAGACACCAGAGTTTTTATACTAGTTTGGATTCAATGTGAATACTAATCCAGTCTCCTTGGGTTGCAAGGGAGTTATTTTTCGTGAATAAGTTTCTTCAACAGTACAGAGAATGGTGTGATCTACACCGATCGCTTAGAGCCTACTTCACTCGTTTCTTTTTGATACAATGCCTCACCAGTGTTGTTCTCTCTTTCTTCTCTAACTTGTTACACAGCAGATCTAGTAGAACTACAATATTTTTTGTAGTAAAATAAAGAGAGGGTATTTGGTTCGATCAAAGTATATATGTCTAAGGCTTGATACTGAGTATAAATACTTTGGTGAAGGCCGTTTGCTGAAGATCTTTGACAACCCAAGAGATTTGATCCTTAGAAAGAGATTGATTCTTTCCAAGAATAAGGTTATTTGTCGTTGCTCTTCCTTGATGAGAGGGCATTGATATCTTTCCTTCTACAGATCTTGATGACACGGTTTTACTCCTTGATTGTTAGTCCTTCCGAAAATAGCAGCTCGATTAATCATCTTGCAAGATCTTCAATGCTTCTTTTCCGTTTCAATCTTCCGGATTGAATGCGCTGGACTTGATTGATTACTTAAGTTTAGGCTTGATTGATTCCTTCCATCGTAGCTGTCCATTGATTTTGTGATCTTTGCTGGCCTCGGATTGCTTTTCTTAAGTTTCCCGATTGATTGCTTCCATCTCACAGTAACTCCTTGATTCTTTGATCTTCTCTAATTGATTCCTTCAATCTTTGAATTGCTATCCATGATTTCCTGCACAGATATATTATTTGCATCATTAAAACTAGATCTAATAGATATAGGTTCAGTGAGGTTAGACTTTTTGGTATGATACTTGTTCTAATAAAATAACTCCAAAAACACCCTTAGAGGGTTAAGTGTTAGTTGGAGTAGTGGAACTTCATTCGGACTCACATTTTATTAGCTTACATACATTTCAAGCATCGTTATCACTAAATTCCTATGTTTGTCCGAAGTCCTTAAAAACAACTTGCAAAGTTTCACTATCATGAATATTAAACTCGGCCTAAAAGGCGACACCTTATGGAGTAACTAAATATGAAAATCTTCTAGTTACGTTAAGTCTTACTGAACGCCTATTAACATCCATTCTCTTACATAACAACGACCAGTGTGTGGTACTCCATTGAAAGTTGCAACTTAATACTAGTTGCAAGAGAACAACTATAGTGTACCGAATTATTCTCAAGCACAATCTCACTGCTATAATATAACGCAACCTAATCCGTCTCATCCTTCATTGTTGGAAGATTCAAAAAAATATGAATGAAGATGGATTATATAGGAAGACTTTGTATCACAATACTGAAATGTGAGTTCTTTATGTAACATAGTTCGGTTTAAGCAGATGTGTAGTTGCACGAATATAATTGAAATGACAGGGGAATCGTTACAGATAAGATTGGCAGGAATGGTAGACTACCTATAGTGCATGCATGCCATGCGCTATACCCTGTCAAATTTTACCAGACATTCGTTAGCCTGGGATGTTTGACCAGGAAGGTATAGCGCATGGCAGGCATGTGCTATAGATAGTATGGTTCTTCCTTCTTTTTTTTTTTACGTTAGTTTGGTTCAACGAGTTAATTTTTATGCTACTTTGGTTCCTGACTCTATATTTATATTAATTTTACACCCATTATCAAAAAAGGACAATCGATGTAATAATACTTTCAAAAATATTTTTTTAGTTGAAAGAGTGGGAGGGAGGACACTCTATGTTTACTTCCAACATCATTTAATATTTATATTTGTATCTATCTAGAAATTATATCCTCATAAGTCATAACAAAGGACTTGTGCTCAAAACTAGATTTTAAATGTTAAGAATCAAGACCAACATCATTAGAAGTCAACACCAACAATGGAATTCATCTTAAGTAGGCTAAGTTATCATGATTTGTGAAAATATTACAAGCTCGACTTATAATTATTAAAGACTAATTAAATCTTTCTTACTTCCTAACCAAGTATATAACTAAGGAGGAAGATATGACAAATGAATGGATTATATTTTTAGCAACTAGTGAATATATTCGCGCTTCGCCGCGATAAAAAAAGAGAATAATGAAAATATAAAGTTATTATTTTTTCTAGTTGAGATAGAAGAGATTAATTTCTTTTTGTATATAATTATAAAATTAGTTTTATGTGACAATTTTAAATCTTTTCATCAGAATTTTTTTCTCATGGTTATTCTTTTTATGAACATGTCAAACATAGAACCTTCAACGTCATGTCGTATAATTATAATTATAAAACTAATTTTGCAAGTTCGGTTGAGATAGGAGAAATTAAAAAATTTAATGTGCATGTGTATAAAACTAAAGTTATATCACTAATATAAATCTTTTTCTTAGAGCTGCCTTCTCATAGTTGTTCTTATTATGTACATGTCAAATACAGAATCTTCAATTTTATGATGTATACTTATAACTATTATTATCATCATTCTTTCATTTTAAGAAAAATGTCCATTGCATGTAATTCTTTTTCAATATTTAATACTTGTTGTCAATACCCAAGAACCTCATTGGTGGAAATGAAGGGTTTGGATTGCAAGTGTAATTAAATTTTTTCTTGATGTAAGGAAAGAAAATTAAATAATTAATTAATAAAATGAATAATAATTTGCATTATCATTTACTTAAATAGGAAGATATATTGGGTTATAGTGAAAAAACTAATATCACAACTTACGTGATTCAATTTGAAAGATCAACTACAAATAAATAAAAAATAAAAAATTAAAGAGAAATAAGAACATACAAACAAGCTTAAGAAAAAGTAGATAAAAAACATACAATAAGTTTCTCTCTCTCTGAGAACGAATCAAACTGAAACAAAAAACAAAGTAGATCAAGATCTCAAAAGAGGAAAAATAAAAGAGAAATAACAACTTACAACTTGCTTAAGAGAAAGTACTTACATAATGTTAACCCACTGTGCTTATTGGATTATATCACCTGATCGTAGGCAACACAAATGAACACCATTAAATTAGTGAAGATTTTACAGCATTCAGATCTTTTTTAAATATCTATGTCATAACGCAATGTATTTTGTACCTGAGGAACAACATGAGCAACAACTGAACTAAACATTAAGGAAAAAAAATTAAGATATTATACTAAGGAAAACTCAAAATGAATAAAATGTAAGTATTCATAATCTTATGTACCTATAATATTGGTTAGTAGTATAAAACAAAAAGGAGCGTGGCAGTGGATTCCCTCGTTCTTCTTCCTTCCCCATGCTTGTTAGTTGCTCTTCTCTGTCTATTCCTATCTAATATCTAAAGTGAAAAAAACTTATGTTTTAGAGATACTCACCGTTTAAGATATGTGAAAAGCAAAATTTATTGAAAATCATTAGTTAGTGGGGTGAATTGGTGGAAAAGGGAATATGAATAGATTAGATAATGAAACCGTGCTTTAATTAGTTAAATGAAACGTTAGAACAATAAATAGTATTAGATTAGTAGATGAATCAGTGCTCGCAATTTATGAAACGGCGGAGTAATAATTATTAGACTTTAATTTTTACAATAGCATAAATAAGGAAAATGCAACAAAAAAAAAGCCAAAAAAAAGGAGAAAAAAGATAAATACAAAGCCTAGTATTTGAGACATGCCACATCACCTTTTGCATTCCCACAATTATATAGATATATAGATTGGTTAAATAAATGTAGCATAGGACTATTAGCAAAAAAAATTGTATTATTTACAACAGATAACCAAAAAGAAAAAGAAAAAGAAAAAGAAGAAAGGGAGGGAGAACGAAAGGACGGATATATTGTGAAGCAGAGGTAGAGAGGGGCCGTAGCGTACTATCCAATCGCCAATACAGAGCAAAATAGATCCTTCGCCGCTATCAGTCATCGACGATCGTATTTTCTCCCGTCCAAACCCTCAATACTTAATTCCTTCTCTGCTTTCCCATCGGCGAAGGTAAGGATCAGACCCACAAATATTTTGCTTCATTTTGAACATTGAGTTTCTAATATCTAATCAGCCCATTTTTAGATCTAATCTCTTTGGTGCTTTTATTTTTGGCATTCGGTTTAGCGAAATGTTATAAGAGGTTTCGTATAGCTGACCCGACTAGCTTGTTGAGTGATTGCTCAATTTGTCCTTTGTTCCACTTTATGTGGCAAGGATTGGAGCTCAAATAGTTAATTATCCATGTCAATTTACATATTTAGAAACTGCATAATATAATAAGTCAATTTTTTTAAGAAAAACATGGTCATAGACCTCTTGATTCCCCAAATAGTAATGTTGCCACATAAATTGGAACAAAGGGAGGAGTAATCTACATCGAGGGAGTTGCAACTTGCTAGCAATAAGAAAGTGGGAACTTTCATTCTGTTATGATTGCCAGCTATAATGGGCGTTATAGGCAATCAGCTTTGTCATAACTTCTTATAAATTGATCTAATGTGAAGTTCTTATTCACCTTCAAGGTGATAGAATTGAGTTTTCTCACTCTTTTGCTTCTTTGGTGATGATCCCACTGTGCTTGG